GGAAACCCTGGTGGAGTAGTGGTTAAGAGTTCAGCTGCTAACCGAAAGATTCAGCAGTTTAAATCCACCAGGCACTCTTTGGAAACCCTATGGGATAGTTCTACTCTGTCCTATAGGGTCTCTATGAGTTGGAATTGACTTGACGGTGATGGGGTTGGTTTTTTCTTGTTTGGTATGGAGTCAATGGGTCTTATACTCCAGTACTCTGATGGACATTCTTTTTTTGGCAGATTGTGGGTGCAGGAAATGGCAGCAAGTGAGCAGCCAAATGCCATAGTTGATTTAAAGTCCTTAGCCCTACCCGGAAAAAAAACCCATTGCCGCCAAGTCGTTTCTGACAGATTGTATACCAGTTGGGAAGAATACAATACATCACCGTATTTTTCTAAGCACTATAACATCATACGTTGTTGTTAGTTGCTGTTGAGTCGATTCTGACTCACGGTGACCTCACGTGACCTCCCATTTAAACCTGGAAACCCTGGTGGTGTAGTGGTTAAGACTTCGGCTGCTAACTGTAAGGTCTAGCAGTTCAAATCCACCAGGTGCTCCTTGGAAACCATACGGGGGCAGTTCTACTCTGTCCTATAGGGCTGCTATGAGTCGGAATCGACTGGACTGCAATGGGGTTGGTTTTTTGGTTTATTTAAAAATTTTTCCATAGAAACCATATCTGAGACTATGGCTTCCACACACCCTGCTAACTCAGAACTGAAGCCACTCCCGAAGCCCACCTTTCCCCCAAAGATCAGACAGTAACACACATGAGGGACGTGCTTCTTAGTTCTATCAAGTGTAGGAGACCAAATGGGCAACACCTGCCCAAAACCAAAGACGAGAAAGCAGGAAGGGACAGGAAATCGGACAAACGGACACAGGGAACCTGGGGTGGAAATGGGGAGAGTGCTGACACATTGCAGAGATGGCAACCGAGGTTACAAAACAATTTGTGTATAAATTTTTTAATGCGAAACTAATCTGTGCTGTAAACTTTCACCTAAAGCACAATACAATTAAAATAAGTAAAAAAAAAAAAAAAAGACACTGTATCTTAGTCAGCTTTGTAGCCCCAACCTCAGCTCAGAGCCTGATACAAATCAAGTGCTCAATATATGTGTATTGAATAAACAACCAAATAGTTTTGAAAGTAAATAAAGCGGCTCATCATTCATAAAGCAGACTCAAAATGCCATGATGATTTAATGAATGTTCTTCGGCTGTTAGGGTTGGGGCGTAGTACCAGGTCCACATAAGCTGAAATCATGTAAAAAATGTTTAAATGTGCATTGACATGTTTTCTGTTGATTGTTGTACATGCTGATGAGTCTTGTTAAAATATGACTTACCCAATCTATGCATTATAATATCCTATCCCAGCAGCTATTCAGGACACTCACTTGAATTCAGAAGTTCATAAAAGGCTTTGGAGCAATTTAAAAAGATGTCCCAAACCTCACACTCTTTAATTTCAGATGTTCACTCAGAACCTGTGTATTCTTGCTTTACTCATAGTTCTGAGGAACATGGCTAGTGGGACTCCAAATCCACAATGGAGGAGCAGAAGAAAATCAGAAGCTCGTGAAAGGCCCCTGATTGGCTCAGGAGTGTCGTGGGCTGGGGAGGGCCTGGAACCAGACAGGGGGTCAGATGGTTGAGAAGGACAGCTAAAACGGGAGCATGTGAAGCTGAGGATGAAGGAGGACAAAGCAAAGAAATGTCAGAATCAGCATCATATGCAGACAGGGGCTCAAGAAGGAAATGCTGGAACAGTTGGGTTGAAGGCAGATAGTAAGAAGGGAATAAAACTGAAAAGGTAAATAACGTTCAGGATCCGAGGAGCGGGAGACCAGGTGTGGGAAAGGCACCAGTTCTCTGCCACAGGTCGACTTGCTGGGTTCCCAGTGGCATCCCTCTGTTGCCTACAAGGGGGCAGGCGACCGCATCTTCCTCCATCCCCTACCTCTCTCCCTTTGGGGCTGAGGGCAGAAACAACACCCTGGGGAAGACCATTCATTCATTTAACAGATTTTAATTGTGCACCTACTATGTGCCAGGCACAATGTAAGGGATAGCGGTACATTAGTGAATAAAACATAGATTCTGCTTGCATGGAACCCAGATTCTGGGTGCAGAGACACCGTAAACAAGCTAACATAAATACATCCTTCCAAACTGCCAGAAGCGCTACGCAGGAAGCCCAAGGCATGCAGGGGAGAGAGGCCTTTCCGCAGAGGGGATTTTATGCTGAGAGGTTGTTACTGTTGGGTGCCCTCCAGTGATTTCGACTCATAGCGACCCCATGTGACAGAGTAGAACTGCCCCATACAGTGTTCTTGGCTGTAATCTTTACGGGATCAGGTCACCAGGACTTTCTTCCGCTGAGTGGGTGGGTGGGTTTGAACTGCCAACCTTTCAGTCAGCAGCTGAGCATTTGCACGTGTTAGAGCTTAATCACCCATACACTACCGGGAATAAGTCCATAGTCTGACAAAACTGGAATTATTGACTCACAGCGAGGAGGATGGGAGAGGGGAGGAAAGCATCTTTGGTCAAGTTTAGGTCTTGCTGAAGCACCCTGATAGGAAGACCCCTACCGACAGACCAACCAGGTCACTGACCTAGTCCAGGCAAGAGACACCCACCTTGAGCCGGGCTGGGAGCAGATGTGCTAGGAACAAGGGGTGCTGACGGATTGAAGGTGGCATCTGGAGCT